TCGTCGTCGTCGCCCTCCACCCAGCGGCGCTCCTGCTCGAGGCGCTCCTTCGACCGCAACTCACTGCGCTGCACGAACGGGTTCGACGGCGACTTCTGCCACATCTCCCACAGCACATCGTTGTACTGTGTGCGGCGCAGCCCCGGCTTCTCATCGCGCAGCAGCGGCAGCTGCTCCTCGCAGAAGTGGCGGTACAAGACGCGCGCACGCTTGCCGATGTGGCGATCGTCCGGCAGCGCCGCCCCATCGCCTGTCAAGCCGGACCGCATCGCCGACAGCGCCTCGCCAACGCCGCCGACAGCAGCGATCTTGCCGCCGCCTTCCTTGTCGGCGTTGATGCTCCTGGCCTTATTCGGGTTGCTGGTCGGGAGCTCCGTGGGGGTGGCGTCGCCGACGACGACGGCGGCGCCGTGCTGCTGCCGCCGCTCGCTCTGCTTCTCCCTGTCGTAGTCCTTCAGCATCTTCGACAGGTCCTTCTGTATCTGCCGCCGCGTCACCTTCACCGGCGCCTTCTGGCTCAGCTCCCGCTCCTCTTCCAGCAGCTGCTCCTTGCGACTGGCGCGCAGCTCCGCCTGCTGCCGCGCCTTTTCTTCCGCCTCGCGCTGCTTCGCCTCTTTCTTCTGCTGCCGTGGGTCATCGTTGGCCCACTGTGCATCCTCCTTCGCCTTGGCTTGCGCGGCGCGTGCCTCCGAGCTGCGCTGCTGCTCCCGCTCGCGCGCCTCCGCGGCGTGGCGGTTCATGTACTTGTTCGCCTTGGGCCCGCTTGGCATGGGCTGGTCGGCGCTGCTGCTGTTACTGTTGCTGTTGCAGGAGTGGTAACAGCAACACCAGCAGGGGTTGGGATGGCGGGGGAAAAGAGGAAGAGAGAGGAAGAAAGAAAGCCGCCATTTACACGCATACATACATACGTCCCCCCTCACACACAGATACACACCGCATGCTCCACGCTCCCAGACTCGCTATCCACGTGGGCCCACCACAGCACTCCATACTGGGCACACAAACACACAGAGGAATAGCCCCCACGCCACACATTGCCTCACTGAAGGCGCACACCAACAACGCAGTCACCGCGAGTGACCGGTCTGAGGCACACCCGCTGCAGTGCAGCGGCACGGCAGTTCTCCCCAAGGACACGCACAAGCTGCACGCCCTCTTCCTCGCTGTGGTAGGTCAGCGACTGGCGCTTCAGCAGCGTCCCCGCAGCGTTCAGCAGCGGCACCAGCGAGGCGGCACCGGCGAGGGGAAAAGCGCATAGGACTGTTAGCCGGCCAACAGCAACCGCGCCGCGCCGCACTTCTGGCACCTCGTGACCGTTGTGAAGGTGCATTGAATTTACAACGTCGTCCACGCGGAGACGCGCGCGCCCATTGCGCTCCGAGGCATCGAGAAAACTTGTTTGGATGCCTGTCACGTCAACCACGCGGTGGTTACGCAGCGACGCAGGCGTGGCGGAGCCCATCCTCACCACAACATCCCCCGCACAGAGCGGTGGAAGCGTTGTTGTTGCTGCTGCTGCTGCTGCTGCTCCGGCTGCTGTGGTTGTTGCTGTGGCCTTCTTGCCGAAGCGCCTCTCGTAGTACGTGTTGCCCACGAGACTCAGCGGCGTGTCACTGCGCGAGGTGACGGCAGTGTACAGCAGCGGGCCGGTGGGGGCCGCGCGCCTGCCCCAAAAGCACCGCCCGGTGAGAACCGGCGGAGCGCCCATCTGCCAGCCACCGTTTCTGCTCTATTATTGTTAGTGTTGTTATTCCATGGAAAAAGAGAACAGCAATTTGGCAGGCCGTAAAATTGGGGGCAAGAGGGGAGGGGGGGAAGAAGAGAAGAGTGCCACCATTCCACCAGGCATAGCCGCAGCAAGACGTGCCGAATCATGTGGATGCACACACACATGGAGAATTAGTAAGCAGGCGCGAACACAGATGCACGCAGACAGAGGCAAACACATACCAGCACGCCACCAACAACTGCTGCTCGCTCATGTATGAAAAGTCCCTCCGTCACTCCTCCTCTTTTCTGTCCCCGTCGCATGTATTGCCGGGGAGCCACGTTTCAGCTCCTTGCAATTGTGTTTCCTCCCTTCTTGCCCTACCACCTGTTGGTCGGCGCCGGCACCCGGAAGCTGTGCTGCTGGTCAAGGCCAATGTACGAGTCGCACACCACGTACAGGTTGAGTGTCACCGTGCCGCCCTCAGCAAATTCGGCCCACTCATCGTCCCACTCGAAGCACAGCGTCGTCGTGACACGCGTCGACAGGCGATTCACGCGCTTCATCGCAATCAGCTCACCTGTTGCCTCGTTGCCGAGCACAAGCCAGAACTGTTCGTCCTTCGCCTTGGTAAAGCGTGGGGCAACGGCGTGCTTGCTGGCCACAGAGAGACGCGTCAGATGCACCGCCAACTCGTACGCCGCCTCCTCCATTGCCTCTCCCTGCTCCGCCTGTGCGCCGTCGCCACCAGCAGCAAAATCATCAGTGTTGTTATTCTTCTTCTTCTCCCCCTCGAGGATGCGGGAGAGGGTTAGTCGGACATCAATGAGGGGGAAACCGACGACCGCCTCCATTGCTTCACGCAGCTGCGCCGCAGTGAGGCCGCAGTCGTCGCGCAGAACACCTTGCATCGTCTGCAGTGTGGAGAGCGGACTGTTTGCCACCTGCGCTGCGTGTTCGATGCCACTGCAGCGTGCTTTTATAGTGGGAAGCATGGCCTCCGTCACATGCGGGATCTGCAGTAGCGTGCTAGAGTGCCACCACAACCCCTGCACTATGCACTGCAGCAGCGACATGCATCGCAGCGCGGTGTAGAGGTGCCCGTTGTTCGCCGCGATGTCCACCATCGCCTGCACTACACGCACCGCATTGTCGAGCGTCGACCGCTGATCAGTGTAATAGTCAGAAATGGGCAAACTGCTGCGCTCAAAGTGTGCCTGGAAGAGCAGGAACGCCTTCACATGCGGCGACTCCGCGTTATTTGTATTTATGGGCAGCGGCAGGCTTTGGCTGAGGGTGACGTTGAGTTTATCCTCGTTGTGCCGGACCGGAAGCTCGTTAAACTCCTCCGCCTCAGAGAGTGCTGTGAGCACGTCGATGTGCGAGCTGTCTGCGTCGAGGTGCGCATCAAAGTAGCGCACCGTCTTGTGCGAGAGGTAGTAGTACGAGCAGAGCCTCCCGAGGACGGTGCATGTCAGCGCGTTGGGGTCCTTGTCATTCCCTCCGCTGCCGCCAGCACCATTGTTGTTGTCGTCATCGTCGTCGTCGTCGTCGTCACTTTCAGGCGACTCGATGCAGCCGCACGCTTCGAGCTCGTCGAGGACGCCGGCGACGAGCATGGAGAGGAAAATGGTGACGGACTTGGGCGAGCGATCCTCCACGCCGTAGTACGACGGGTTCTTGACGAGGCGGCGGAACAGATACGTCCACGTCAGATAATCCACCGCGTCCTGCCGCGTCGTGATGGTGCCGGCGACGATTTCAGCGTTGATGTGCACATGCAGCTGCTTGTGCAGCGCGCTCTCCACCGGGAACGGCTCGTAGAGGAACTTGCGGTAGAACCCCTTCTTGGGCTCGTGGCACAGCACCTGGGCAACGCCGTCGACGTCGAACTGCGGTCGGCCGGCGCGGCCGATCATCTGCAGCACATCGGTGATGGGGTAGTCGATGTACGTCTTGGTCTTGCCGTCGTAGTACTCCGTCCCCTTCACCACCACCATGTGCGCGGGGAAGTTGACGCCCCACGCGAGCGTCGAGGTCGCCACAAGGATCTGCAGCTTCCCTGTGAGGAATGCGGACTCCACTGTTGTGCGGTCATTCTCCAGCAGGCCGGCGTGGTGCACACCAACGCCGAACTGCATGCAGTGCTTCACGTACGGGTCGCTGACACGCGCCACGAGGGTGGCCACCTCATCTGTGTCCATGCGCACAAACTTGGCGGTGTTCTGCTCCATCAGCAGGTAGCCGATGAGTGCCATTGCCGTCAGCCGCGTCTGCCGACGCGAGGAAACAAAAACAATCACAGGCTTGTTGGGGCTCTTCTCACAGATTGCGTTGTACACAGGCTTGTTCATTGCCGCCATGCGCGGACAGTAATTCTTGCCGTGATAACCGGCAATGAACACTCGCATCGGCACCGGCCGCACAGAGGGGTCAAAGTTAAACACCGCCCACTTGTTCTGCACACCGAGCCACGAGCTGAGGTCAGCTGGGTTTGCAACAGCAGTAGAGAGCCCAACGAGGCGGATCGGCGCCTTGCGGTGCCAGCCAATGTAGCGCATACGGCTCACAATTACCTCAAGAATTGGGCCACGGTCGGAACCGAGCATGTGGATTTCGTCGAAGATGACGAGACGCACCGCCGTCACGTAGCGGCGCACCTGCCAGTTACGTGAGAGACCGTCCCACTTCTCCGGCGTGGTGCACAGAATATCAGCCTGCACCAACGCCGAGATGTCTGGTGTCACATCGCCGGAGAGCTCCACCACGCGGCGGCCAAGGCGGCGGTCGAAGCGCGTCGTCCAGTCCTTCACGCGTTCCTTTACGAGCGCCTTGAGTGGGGCAATGTACACGATCTTTGACCCCGGCGGGTAGTTCTCAAAGACGCGCAGTATTGCCATCTCTGCCGCAACAGTCTTTCCACTCCCGGTAGGTGCGCCTAAGAAGATGCTGCTATCGGTGTGGAACATGGCGTGGAATACCTGCGTCTGCACCGCATTGAACTGTGGAAACCCTTCGTAGATGGGGTGGTACTGTGCCGGGATCACCTCCAGACGGAGTGGCGCGAGCGGCAGCAGCGTGGTAGTCGACTGCGTGTCATCCGGCAGGTGCAGGTGTCCAATGGAGAAGGTAAATTCTTCACGGCATCCGATCCACCGGTCGCTGTAGAGCCGCACGGAGTACATGTCATACTCCGGCAGAATAGGAACGGAGAGATTCACCACCAGTGGCGTGCCCGCTTCCACCTCCTTACGCTTCAGCGAGATCAGCTCGTGGTGGAAGATGAAGTGGTTGTCCTGATCCTCAACGAGCAACCAAAACTGCTCGGTGGAGCCGTGGTAGCGGGTATTCCACGTGAATGTCGCCGTGATAGTCACCTTAACACGCAAAATTGTGCGTGTGACTGGCTGCACGTCCGCAGTCAGTGTTACGGCTGGAAATGAGGCAACAAGATTGGCAATCACACCGCCAAAACGTTGGTTGTGTACAATAGAGCCAATCTCCCGCGCAGTCATCTCCTGCAGCAGCGTCATACTCGGGCGCCTCTTTGCAAGGTTTGCAATGACAGCATCGGTAAAATCCACGTTGAACTGCATGAGTGGGTGGTCGAATTCCCAGCAGCGCTGCTCCATACACTTGCAGAGTGACAGAAACACAGCGGTGGTAAGCGGGTGACCGCGCTGCATCTCAATTTCGAAGAGTGCACGAGCAATACGAGGCGCATTTTGCATCACATAGTTCACATCAGAGGCGAGGGAATGCATGTCAATATGAATCCGGCTAATGAACGCCTTCATGAGTGTTGTTACCTTCCACTCCACACCAGTCTCATCAGCACTCTCACCGACAATGGCATATCGCTGCACCTGCTTTGGTAACGAGGCGTGGATCTTCTTCAGTTCATCCAACTCCTCTTGCCGCACGCGCAACTGCTCAAACTCATTCGCGCACGCGACAATGTTCATAGCGGCGCCCATGTCGAGGCTTTCAATCCACGACTCGTCAGGACGCCGCATCTTAAGGTTAAAAGTCGCGATGGACTCGTGGGAAATGTAGTAGTAACTTGCAATTCGACCCAAGTCTGTTGTGTCAACAGATCCAGTCTGTGGATTGTAGCGAATCATGCTAGCATTTGCCAGTTCCTCTGCGGCGTTGCTGACGAGTTCGTACCGCACCGTCTTGAGTTTAGGGTCTCGTCGCACGTCGGCAATTTTTATTCCATACAGCAGCGGGTTTACCCGCACACGTTGCCAGAGGTAGGTGTACTCCAGCCACCGGCTGCCCTCCACGATGGAGGAAATGGTGCCGGCGTGGATCTCCGCGTTGAGGTGGTCGCACAGGCACTTCTGCAGCTGACTCTCGATGGGGAGGGCGTTGGCGAGCAGTCGGAGATAATGCCCGACATCCTTCTCGTCCGACACAATGATACCGTGGCCGCTTGTATCGTACTGTGGTCGGCCAGCTCGGCCGAATATCTGCATCACGTCAAGGACAGAGATGGGCACGAGGCCGCCACGCTTCGGGTCATACAAGTGAGTACCACGAATGATTACGGTGTGCGCCGGCAGATTAACGCCCCACGCGAGGGTGCTAGTGCACACCAGGACCTTGATGTAGCCGTCGCGAAACAACCCTTCTGTTGCAGTGCGGTCGTAGCGCACGAGACCGGCATGATGGGCGCCGAAGCCGGCAAGAAACAGATCTGAAAGATCCCGACCCTGCAGGTTGCGTCCGCGTGTCACCACTTCCTTTGGCAGAGTGCCGCTTGGTTTGAATAGGCTCTCCTGTGAGAATTTCTTCGCCTCCTCGATGAAGTACTTGGCAAGCCCCACTGTCTGCTTGCGTGAGTGGACAAAGACCATCACTTGGTGCCCCTCCCGCACGTTGCGGACCACCTCATTGTATGCAAGCCTGTCAAGCTGGCGCTCCTTGTCCTTGGTGTTGTTGTGCAGTCCAACAAAGGTTTGCTCGAGCGGCACCGGGCGGTACTCCGGGCCGAATACCTTCAGCCCCTCCTGCAGATCAACGCGCAGAAAATTTGCCACATCCTTGTAATTTGGCAGCGTGGCGGATAGACCGACAAGGCGCGTGGGTTGCTGTTGATCCGTATTGAGCTCACCCTGGCGGAGCGTCCGCGCCACAATGGCCTCCAGAACTGGTCCGCGGTCCTCGTTCAGCAAGTGGATCTCGTCAATGATGATTAAACGGACCTGTTGCACAAGGTCTTCGTTGCTTTGCTTACGTGTGATGACGTCCCACTTTTCTGGCGTTGTCACGATGACCTGCGTCTGTGCAACCTCGCGCTTGGTAAGTTGCATGTCACCAGTCAGTTCACGCACCTCCATTGCAAAGGGGGCTAAGCGGCGCGAGAAGTTCTCCACCATCTCCTGAGCAAGCGCCTTCATTGGAGCGACAAAGATTATCTTGAAGTTTCGGTCCAGTTTCCCCTCGACAAAGTGTTCCTCGATGCAGCGCAGCATTACGAGCAGTGCGCACACTGTCTTGCCTGCCCCTGTCGGCGCACACACGAGCATGTTCTGCGACGTATGGAATGCGGTACGGAAGAGNGAGGTTTGTATGGTGTTCAAGTGTTTAATCGTGAGGAATGCGGGGTGTGTCCACTCCGGTAGCGATGTGGCGACGCACACGCGCTGAGCCTCCGGCAGCACCTTCTGCACCGGAGGTGGGACGTGGATGCGTATGTGATCTTTTTTCTGCGTCACGGTGGCACCGCTCGGCACCGATGAGCCACCGACGCTGAGATCGCGCTTGAAGATCTCGTCCAGCTCCGACTCCTGCATCAGTTGCCGGTAACGCTGCGTCATGTGGGCTAGCCAGCGTTGGTCTGTCGCCGCGCCGTTGTGGGCGAACGCCACCTCCCGCATCTCCGATCGCTGTTTCGCTGTCTTGACAAAGCGGACTGTCAGTGCGTGCTGCGGCAAGGCGGCGGAGCTGTTATTGTTGTTGCTGCTACTATCGTCATCCTCGAGGGTGCAGAACTCCTCCAGCAGCCGGAGGAAGATGTCGCGTGGGCGGTGCATCACACACTGCAGGAGGTCGTAGTGCTCGTCGCCGAGCGTCTGCAGGAGTTCGTCAACGACACGCACCCGCGCCGCGTCACGCTGCCTCTGTGTGTCACACGCGGTGACCTTGTCCAGAGCGTTGAGGATAATCTGCGTCATGTCTTCGTCGAAGTGGACGTATATCTGTGAGACGATATCGTCCACACTGGAGAGCAGCATGTCGAGTGGCACCTTGCGGCTCTCCTGGTAGGCGGAGCGGCCCACGCACCCGACACGGTCGCCGCGTGGGGACAGTGGCTCGCCGGAGTGCGCAGCCACCGCGACGGTCTGCTGCCGCTGCATCAGCTGCCCAGCGAAGGAGCTTGCGCGCTGCCGGCCTCCCGCGTCGTCGTGCAGCAGAACCAGCACGTCTTCTAACAGGCTTGTCGCGTGGGCACCGGGGATATGTGAAGAACTATGGGCGCAACTTGCGTACATGCCGTGCAGACGGCGAACAGCATCCTGCACTTCGATGTTCAAGCTAACTGTCGTGTTACCAGCAGCGGCCCCTTTTCGGCCGAGCTTCTGATCATTCTTCGGCGTCTTGTCCGCGCCGCGACGGCCGCCGTTGTTGCCGCCGCTGCTACTAGAGACATTTTTGTTGTTATTGCTGTTGTTCTTTTTGTTGACATTACTGTCCTTGTTGACATTGTTGTAGGCCGTCCAGCAAGAATTGCAGTACCACTGCTTGTCGCGTGGGTCCTCGGCGCCCTCATCGTACGACTTGCACTGCTGGCACAATTGCCGCTTCGGCATTGCCGGCCCACCACTATATGCGCGTACCAATGATCTGTCGCAGACCCACCAAAAGTCATTCATAATCAATAAAAGAAAAGGGAAAAATAAGTAAAATAACGATAATGATAATAATAAATCAAGCCACGCAATCAGTGTCTATCCCAAATAGAGTTATAGTGTCACTACCACGCCTAGCACGTCGGAGCACTCCACTGGATTTCAGTTGATACCCTCTTTCCGAATTATTACCCTCCTCTTTGCTCCCCGTACATATTACTATCATGCACAGGACGCTCTGCAAGGCTGCAGTCCTCGGATCCATGCCCATCACTCCCTCTCCCTTCCGCTTTCTCTCTCTCTCTCTCTCCCTATCCTAGAAACACACACACACACACGCACGCACAGGAGTCTATACATACTGCAGAACAATTGTGGTCAGCAGGTGTAGCGTCGACGTTTCCACCTCCACATTCCAGTCCCGGGTCCTCTCTTCACGCAACGGTCGCGCATTCAACGACACGTCACCTGGGGCACCATAGTAGTCGTTAGACCGTGACACACTTGTGAGGCTGCAGTACGGCACAGAGAAGCCGCTGTCGGCGGCATGATACTTCGGGCAGCAGTGCTTCAGCATCATCGACACCACTTCAGCGTGTGTCACCAACAAGGTGCGCGTGGGCGGTAGCAGCGCCCCGCCCGACGACACTGAGGTTGTTGCTTCTGCTGTTGCTGGAGCACTGCGCCTCGCGATGGTGCGTGGCAAGCCTTTGGCGTCCTGCAGTGCCGCCTCCCGTACATGCGGTGGCACAACAGCAGCCGTGCCCGCGTCGGCGTCGAAGTGCACGTGGACTGCCTCGCCCACACGGCGCAGCAAGCCGCTGGCGTTCTCTGGGTATCTGATACCGCTTAGGTTGTTACCACGAGTGTCGTTGTTGCTAGACGGGCGGTTCGCCGTGCTGGATCGACTACACGCACCTCGTCGTAGCGAATCCCGCGTGGACGCGGAGGTCCACAGAAGAAACGCGGGTCGCTGTGCCCATCGCGTCTCGAGCGCCGCCAGCCACCGCGCCAGCATTGCGTCGCTAATGTCGTAGCGCACGTCTGCTGCAGCGGAGCGGAAAAAGGACGGCAGTGCCATATGCAGCGCCTCCCACTGCGGCCGGAATGTGATCACGTCCGCAGCGGTGCACGCGTATCCGCCGCCCAGAAGGGGCGGGCGCGAGAACAACTTCGGCGAGTGCCACTCCGACAGCAGCGGGTCAACGAAGATGGACAGCCGCCCGTCGAAGCCGACGATGTTCACAATAAGGGCCGTCTCGATGCAGCGGTGGAAAGGCGAAACGAGCAGCAGTGAGAGCATTCCCAGCGACCGCTGCCGCACCTTCCCGTGCTGCTGCTGCCGCAGGAACATCAGACCTGTCTCAAGCGC